ACCAAATATATACACCTCAGTTCAGCCTTATATTCAATAATTTCTTCCACTCTCTTATAAGAGTTCAGTCTCTTACCTTTATCAATTACATTTGTTGGCGACCGCCATTCAGCACTTGTTTCTTCTCCTTCACACCGACGGTCCAGACGATTCCTCATTCTTGGAACGATTTTGGGGATTTTTCAAAGGTCACTGAAGGTTTGTTGAGACTTGAGAGGGAGAACACACTTCGGTTTTTGAGGTAGAGGGGGTTGGCCGTATTAACTAAACATTAAGTTAACTTAATGTTAAAGTTTATCAGGTAGCCGTTTTTTAACCTAAATTTACTGAAATGCCCCATCATTAATTGTTTTCCGATTGAAATCAGCCGGAATCGAGCCCAGAAGGACGACGGGTGGTTATGGAGAAAAAGTCAAGGACTACATTTGGTTAAATTGAAAGTCAGGGGATTAATGTAGAAGTGGCATAATAGTCATGGGACCAAAAGTGGAATTTTTTCTATATGATTATATCATTTTCTTGATCTAAAAATTTAAATTAGGGTACCCTAAAGACAAATTACAAACCATTTATTAAGATGTTTCTAATTAAATTGAAATCGTCTAATATGATGTGATCTGTTTAACTCATCTAATTAAAAACATGTTTAATTTTCTCTCTTTTTCTAAGGGAATTTTGAGTTCTACTCCACTTTTTAAGTGAATTGGATTTTGCACACTATTTTCAAAAAAATTGAGTTAGCACCCCAGCACCCCACTCTTTGTGAAGAAAAATTTCAATATAGGGTGCAAAGCCAAAGACTTTTTAGAAATGAAGTGCAAACTCAATTTTTTAGAGCTTTTTACACAAATATTACTGACAATATTTGCGGTTACAAGAAAGTGACTATTACTACGGAACACATACAACATCCGGGGAGCAAGGCAGGGGTGTTCATTCGGTAATACCGGACCACACTGAAATTTCGGTTTTGCATAATCCCATACCGAATGCCGAACCAAACTAAATCGGTTTGGCTCGGTAAAAACAAAAAAAAGGTTTGGTAATCAGTAAACCAAAATACCAAACATGCATTCGATAATATTTATTTAATTTGTATAAATATATATTTAAATATATTATACTCCGTATATAATATATAAATACTACGCAGCATATTATGTAGTATACATGTATAATACATACTGGAATATATATATATATATACATATACATATACATATACATATACATATACATATACATACATACATACATACATACATACATACATACATACATACATACATACATACATACATACATACAGACTGACACACACACACACACACACACACACATACATACATACATACATACATACATACATACATACATACATACATACATACATACATACATACACACACACACACACACACACACACAAACATACATACATACATACATACATACATACATACATACATACATACATACATACATACATACATACATACATACATACATACATACATACATACATACATACATACATACATACATACATACATACATACATACATACATACATACATACATACATACATACATACATACATACATACATACATACATACATACATACATACATATGTGGGAGGGTTCTAGTGAGAACCACTCCTAAAATGAGAACCTTTTATAATGAGAACTCTTAATCTCTACCTTTGATTTTATTCAATCATTGGTAGGATACACAAGGGGTCCTTTGTGTAATTATTCCAACTTCAAATGGGGTACTTTTTGTAATTATTATAAATTTATTACAAAATAGACCTCATGTGCATTAAAGCTCTTGATTTGATATATCAAAGGTGGAGATTAAGAGTTCTCATTTATAAATGAGTTCTCATTTTAGGAGGGGTTCTCATTTATATTTCAAGCATGTTTACTTAATTGTTATAAATAAATATATGTGTGGTTTTGTTCTGGGTAGTATTCTTTTTGGAAGGTGGCGGTGTTTGACTTCATTCAGAGCAAAAATTCATCTTCTACAAGCAACTATATGCATATCTTAATAGCATATATCTCTATTTAGTTTAGCATATTTTGGATATCTAATATTTATGAACTAGCAGCGAATGTGTTTGCCGATTATTAGCATGTCATATTGATAATTGGGTAAGTTTTTCATCATTTTTGATGGAGTTAGTGAAAGCTGTGACATGGAATTATACCCATCACATATTCATTGTAAAAGGAATTGCTAGATATATACCTTATGTTGAGTAGAAGAAGGGGAAGAACATATTTCTAAGTTGTTCATTTAAAAAAACATTTTTCTAAGTTGTTATCAGGTGATTTAGGTCGTGGTAGGGTGATGGACGAAGAGGCCAATTCGAATATAAGGAGAACAAAATACTCTCACAGTGTTCACCATAGGATACATTCTGAAATGGTCTCTGTTCCGGTTTCTATTCAGCTCAGTCGAACTTCAGGACTGAATTCTAGGCCATTTGTTTCCGAAATTTATTCGGGCCTGATTTTTGGCATATCTGTAAGATCTTAGAGCAATTTGAGTTTTCCCTTGCTAATGAAGGGACCTTCAACCTAGTGCGTGATCATTCCTTTCAAGATCACAAGAAGGTGTTCCCTCTTGCTCTAAAATTGAACCTGTGCATTCAGATTCTTTTCCCATGCCAAAGCCTAATTTTTTTTTTCAAAAATGAAAGATAACCATACATAACAAAAAATTTGAGAATCCCATCACACAAACATAAAATTACAAATATTAGGAGCTAGCACTACAAGAAAACATATAGAATATATATAGTTCTCGTTGAACACACCACGGGTAATCAACCACTTAGTATTTAACCTCCTTCAGACCATAGGGAAGGTAGAGGAATGTAGGGTCAGTGGGACCGTCCTTGTAGTAAGCGAACACAAGACTGCCATCATTTGTACCGCTCTTGCCGGCAAAAAGTTGCAAATCTTAAGCTTTGCAAGCAGGTACTTGGTTGCTGCCTCAATTTTCTTTTTGAAGTCCTCTAGCTCAGTTCCGGTCAACTTGCCAGATATTGCTTTAATGTATTTCTCCATATATACAACAAAGTTCTTCTTAGAGATATTACCCAAAATAGGACTAAAAGAGTTAGAAAATTCCAAAATAGGACTACCATGTTTTTATTCCCAAAATAGGACTAATTACTGACAGGTTTTGGCAGTACCAGACTTCAAACATGGCAGTATTTTTAAAATTTGGCAGTAATTACTCCTATTTTGGGAATAAAAACATGTCAGTCCTATTTTGGAATTTTCAAACTCTTTTAGTCCTATTTCGGGAACTTTCCCTTCTTTTTATCATAGGTGGCTTGCTCCTGGAGTTTAAACGTATCAACGATGTCAACAACCTTAGTGGTTGTGTCATTCACACCCTCATCCTCTTCGCCACCTTCTGCATATGGATTTGCTTCAATATCTACCTCAACAGCTCCTTGAACAACCCACTTTCCCTCAACTTCCCATAGCAATCCTCCTTCAATTTCCTTGTAAGGAAATGAATCATAGAGAAGTTCATCATTAGTCAAAATATGTCATGATAGATCAACATAGCTCTCATTGCAAGGGCTCTCTGGGATGCTGTAAATGGATGCTAAAGCAGAGAGACGCGCCGAGAGGGGCCAACGCCTAAATTTGGTTGAAGTTTCTAGATAATCTAGGATACTTTTAGTTTGTCCACTCCAGATTGTAATAAAAAACACTTTTCATGTGTCAAACAACTTACATTTATGTTCATGTAATTCTCTTCTTCGCTTTATGTTATGGAAATAGTAAAAAGTCCTAAATTGAAGTTTTAGACAAAGAGATGTGCAAACTTAAAATACATTCCATTAGTCTATTATCTGAGTGTTAGGTAAACACCATAACTTAAAATCTGTTTGTTAAACCGAATACAACCAAGCATTGGAGCTTGGTCTAATGGTGGTACCATAAGTTAGGATGTTAGTTTGTTACTATAGTCCATCCCATTAGTTGTTCAGCCTGTCTGGGATCCAATAAAATTGGGTAAACAGTCTCCCACCTTGCGCAAACAAATGCTAGTATAATACTCCCTCCGTTCTCTAATAGTTGGCCTTCTTTCCATTTTGGGATGTTCTCTATTAGTTGTCCCCTTTTCCACTTTTGGTAAGTTTTTTCAATAAATATACCCATTTACCCTCATTCTCTTTCCTACTTTTTCATTCTCTTTCCTACTTTTTCCTTTACACACAACCCACTACACCTTTTATACTACCCCTATTAATTTCATCTTAAATCTTGTGCCAAAGCCTATACTCCCATCTATTAGAGAACGGAGGGAGTATATAAATACTATGTACGGAGTAGTATATTATATAGTATAAATATATAACAATACTGAAATATATATCATTTTTTTTAGGAAAAGAGAATTTTATTAATAAAAAGTAAATAGTACAATGCAAATAGGAAATTAAAGAAAGAAAATAAAACGGTGCAGAGAAAAAAACTGAAATATACGGAGTATATAAATATGATATATATTTCAAAATACTGAAATATATATCATATTTATATACTCCGTATATATTAACATTTTTTTGAAATGCATTTTTATATTTATATTTATTATTTTCTGTATTTCGGTACTCGGTACATACCGAAAACCAAAATATTTTTATATATACTGAATTGAATACCGAATTTTCAAAATTATACGTACCGGTTAACGAATCGAAATTTCGGTTCGGTATTTGGTACATACCAAAATTTCGATATCGGTTTGGTTCGGTCGGTTTACTGAATTGTGCACACCCCTAGAGTAAGATAGGACAAAAAGACAAAAAGTCATATTTTTGTTAATGAGATTTAAAGTAGTAATATTTGTGTAAATTTTTCTTTTTCTTTTAACTCTATGATGCAAAATCAAATATCACCTAAATTACCCTTTTCGGGTGATTTAGAGTGGTGACAAAATCCAAATTTCCCTTTTTTTTACTACCCAAAATCTTTCCTTTTTCCTTCTCTTTCCCAACCACCGTACCTCCTCTTCCCTCTGAACCAATCAAGGGCATATCTCCGGCATACATGGACCAAGCCACAATTTGAAATCGCTGGTTTTGCCCTTTTCAAGTATCCTTTCTTTTAACTGCGTGTTCGGGGGTCAAAGGAAGTCAATGCCTAATTCATCTCATGTCTGCAATCGAAGTCGAAGCCAAGCGTAGCAAACACATAGCACCTCTGAAGACGCTACTCATTTGCTGCTAGTTTTGATAGGAGGATTCCAAAAGAGTGCAGAATTTTCGTGTAAGTATGAGCATAGTGCCCAAAGAGACAATAGAGGTGGTTGCACAGAGCATCGGAATAACCAATTTGTCCCCGGAAGTCCCACCTGAACTTGCCGCCGATGTCGAATACCGTCTCAGAGAAATAATGCAGGTACCGTTCCTCCATTGGTTCTGTTTCATTAATTTAGGCTGCCACCGATTTTTCTCAATTAGGGCAATTTTATCTATAACCATAGAAAAAAGAACCATTTTTTAAATTCATTTGATCTGAAGTCATCGACTTTTTAATTTATTGATTCAAATTAGGAGTCCATAAAATGCATGAGACATTCCAAGAGGACAATCTTGACTGCCGAGGATGTGGATGCAGCACTTAACTTGCGAAACGTTGAGGTATCTCTTCTGCCTCTACTGGTCAATTGGTGTTGCAATTGTCATATTGTGAAGATTACAGTTAATTCTGTTCTGAAAATACAACAAGAATAATGTCCCAAAAAAAAACTGTAGAATGTGCATGAATTCGATATTCAGAAAACAGGAAGTCTTTGAAATGTTGAGGAAAGTAGAACTTGCAACTGTCAAAACATGAAAGCTGCAATGAAATTAGCATCACAATGCAATTAATGTTCCCTTCAGATGTGCTCAAATGCCAATGATATGCCGATAATAACTTTTCAAGTTGGAGTTAATAACTGGGTAATGATACATGTAGAGAGAGCGTCATGGGATGGTTAGGAGAATGGTAAATTTATCTCAAACTACCCCTAAATTATCACACTCTCACTTTTTCACTTGAAGGTAAATGTGAGACAGTTTTACCATTGTCTGAGCGCTTCTCTTACCCTCTCCCTATATACTACGTATATCATTGTCCTTACATAACGGCCTATCGGGTCTAGATTTGTAAGAATTATATCTACTATTATATCTTATATTGCACACATAATTAAATACATTGTCAACTAACTCCGTCATAGTTCACATGCAATTGAGTCAATTGACAGGTGGCATGTCAAGGTGCACATGAGAATTTGTTCATTCACTAACTCTTCACCACCTCCACACACCACCACCACCACCACCATCATCATCATCCTAATCCCATAAATCAGAGTTGGTGATGTGACTTTTTTAGTGCCAAATAATTAAATAAATATCTGGAACTAGTTATCAGCTTAACATTATCAATTCCTGCAAATAGGAGAGGGTAGAGGTTGTATGCTACATGCCCTTGACATATGTAAAGTATCATGATACAGTGATGAGTTGAGATAGTTGCTATTATCAATTTATAAAATCCTTTACATAATTGGTATTGTGATATTTATGTGCAAATTAAGAAACATGTCAGCTGTGTTGATTCTTGACTAACTAATAAAAATAAAATCTTCTACAAAATTTGGTACTGTTTCTTTTAGATTCGAAAAGAAAATTCCTTATGTTTCCTCAATTTGTGAAATAGAGACTTCTTTATTTTTGTCAACAAGTAGTATATGTGTCTGTATCATCTCAACGGATGTCCTATTGGTTCTATGCTTAATGTTTCAGCCTATATATGGATTTGCGTCCGGAGATCCTATGCGATTCAAGAGGGCTGCGGGGCATAAGGATTTGTTCTACGTTGAAGAGAAGGATTTAGATTTCAAGGATGTAGGAAAAATCTGAACCGTGCCTTTTCCTCTATGTAACTTACTACTTTTTATTATTTTACTTTTTATTACTATTTTAAAGTAGCTATATTTATGCATTTTAGGTGATTGAAGCTCCTCTGCCTAAAGCTCCATTAGATACTGCAGTAACATCTCATTGGTTAGCTATAGAAGGAGTGCAGCCAGCGATTCCTGAAAACCCCCCTCAAGAAGGTAGAGTAAAAATATAAGTTGCCTGTAATTTGCTCCTAAATTAGTTCCATAGATATCATTAAAAGTCATTCATATTAATGGGTTCATTATTGCAGCACTTGCAGCACCACAGGACAACAGAGCGATGGAGTATAAAGAAGATGGAGGTTCAATTGACCTCAAGTTACCTGTAAAGCACGTTCTATCTCGTGAACTTCAGGTATTGGTATAGCGAGCCAGTGGGGTGATGTAAGTGTATCCTTTTTTTTTTACTGTGAAACATCTGGTTCTAAAATGATATCATTTACCATGCAGCTATACTATGAAAAAATTACAGATTTGGCAGTGAACAAGTCTAACTCTGTACTATTGAAAGGAGCACTAGCAAGTTTGGCAACCGATTCTGGGCTTCATCCTTTAATTCCTTACTTCACATTTTTTATTGATGATGAGGTAATTATTCTGGATTATAGTTCAGTGTTATCCTCACTTGAGATTAATTAAACTGAAGAAATTCTATCATACCTTCAGGTGTCAAGGAACTTGAATAACTTTTCACTTTTGTTTGCTTTGATGCGGATTGTTTGGAGCCTTCTTCAGAATCCTCATATTCATATTGAACCATATGTAAGTGCAATGCTGACACGTTTCCAAATATGAGTGTAACTTCTCGCTTCTATTAGTGGATTTCTTAGATGATTCAACCATGTTACTATTTATTTGTGGGTTGGGAGGAGTATGAAGGGGCGGGATTGGAACCGAGACCTATACATAATGTAGAAAGAGCCAAAGAGGGGCTTAACCACAAGCTTTATTCAGACCAACACCCTACATATGACTAAGTGATTAATGGATAATGTAGTCCACAACTGTGATGACTTGTTGTGTTTGATCATTTATAGCTGCACAAGTTGATGCCACCTGTAATGACTTGCCTTGTTGCAAAAAGACTGGGAAATAAACTTTCAGACAACCACTGGGAGCTTAGAGACTTTACAGCCAAGTTGGTTGCTTTGGTATGCAAAAGGTAAAGGATTTTTCCCTTCACATTAGTATTTGAGTTTGATTAAACAGATGGGGCGAATATGGTATTCATACAAGTGTGCATATTTGTGTTTCCATTTCTATTTCAATCAGTGCGTGATTACCTGGGCAGAAAATTTCCCTCGTTGCAGGTAAAACTCGAAAGTGAATATATCTACACTTCAGTGATTGTAAGTGCAAGAATATAATGATAAAAGTCCAAAATTGTGCATTTACCAATGTACCATTTTCATCAGTTTTAAGTTGCATATACCCACTCAAATTCAATAACATTTGAACTCAATCTAGATATATACCAGATCGCTACCAAATAATGTTACTGATCTTAATGTGCAAACTTGGTATAAGAGAAATTACAAACTGGCAACTTGGTAAACTGCTAGTACATCTCATTTCTGTATTATATATGCCATCAGAAGGACTCAATTCCACATTTTGAAGCTCACCTTGCTCTAATTTCAGAAGAAATTTAGATGGTGGAGGTAGTGCTGTGATTTTAGAACTGGGAATGGAAGAACCGTTTTGAATACTAATAAGAATAATAGAATAGTATTATAGAGTGTAATAGGGTATAAGTGAAGGTTGTGGGCCATTTAGTAAATCAGGAATAATGGGCCAGCCCTTAAAGAAGTAGAAGCATTATAAGAGTAAAGAAGTGGGGAAAGAGGAAGGTAAGCAAATATTCAGTTGGATTTGGGTAGGCTAGGAGATTGGTCCATTATATTCCTTCTGTAAACAACGAATCACTTCAATAAAGCTTCTTGATCTATTCTTTTGGATTCTCTACTGTTCTTAGTCGTATTTTACCAGTGATCTAACACCCGATTCGATTCCTATTTATGGATTATATGTTTTTAATGGTTCAGTTCCTCAAAATCTGCCCTGTAAGCACCTTTGCAAAGCATGATTTAGTTTGTGAACTTAGTTGAAATGTATGAATACTTTAACGTTTTTAAAAAGTAACAATTGTCATGCATGCAACAGATTGCGTAGTACTTATAGATATTGTTCACTTAAAATAGAAGAACACTGAAAATGACTTCTTTTTTGGATTTTTGTTTGCTAGATACTGAGTATTATATACATGTACAGAACTACTTTATACGGAGTAACATTTTATGCATCAAACCTGTCACACATCAAGCTCTTCCCTGAAGGAAACTTTTTCTTGTCCCTTATATTTTAGGTATGGTCAAGTGTACCACACTCTCCAGCCCCGCGTCACACGGACTTTGCTGCATGCATTTCTAGATCCAACGAAGGCACTGCCTCAGCATTATGGTGCAGTACAAGGGCTAAATGCCCTTGGACCTAGTGTGGTAAGTTCTTGCATTTCCTACCTTTCCTCTTCGTTTCCCCTACCTCAAAATTGTGATATGCCTTGCATTGTGTTAGGTTCAACTGCTTTTGCTGCCTAATCTTGAGCCTTATATAAAACTGCTGGAGCCAGAAATGCAACTAGAAAAGCAAAAGAATGAGATGAAGAGGCATGAAGCTTGGCGAGTATATGGTGCTCTGGCTGTATGTTTTGATGTTTATTAAGTGTTTTGCGTATACTTTCCTGTTTATTATGTCTGTGAGCATGGTTCCCCTTGAGATAAACATATGGAATTATGGCTTTAATGACATTTTCACTACAGTGTGCAGCTGGCTTATGTATCTACGGTCGGCTTAAGATACTTCACACTTTACTGCCCTCACACGCACATTCTGTTCTGAAGAGCACGACGAAAATCGCCATGGCTTCAATGTCAAGTATGCTTATAGCTTGCTCTGTTTACCTTTTTATGGCTTTAATGGCATTTGCACTACAGACTACAGTGTGCAGCTGGCTAATGTATATGGTCGGCTTAAGATACTTTGATCTTTACTGCCCTCACATGCACATTGTGTTCTGAAGAGTACAACGAAGTCGCCATAGCTTCCTATGTTTGCCTTTTTATGCATTTTGTTAATACCAAAAAGCGGCATACATAATTTGTATATATTCCCAGGTCGGTGGATTAAAATTTATGCATTATTGGCTTAAATAAGGTATAGGTGTAGAATAATATATACAGTGAGTTTCCCCCCACCCACCAAATACTTATGTTTCACTGAGGTACCACTTTTATTTTATTAAAACTGGAAATCAGTCATTCTTGCACATTGTTTTTTGGTTCAACTAAATATAATAAAAGTTTGCTTCTTTTATCCAAGTAGGACTTTTTAAATTCTTTTTTCCCAGAGTATGTTTTTAAAGATGCTCTTTTATTTGGGAGGGAGTATTCACATAAAATCTTTTAAATACCTATGGTTGTGGATTTTGTTAAAGTTGAAAACTTATGACCCTGATTAAAATAGCTTATTCTTTAGGTTTTTTTTTTCATTTTAAGTGCATTTTGAAGCACCACTTTGCTGCATTCTTCCATTAGCAAAAGTCTTTTTTGATTGTTATAAACACTGTTTTTCTGTCAAACGGTTCTTTTTGAAGCAAAAGTGCTTTTCTAGAAAACTCGTTTCTTAAAATAACTAGTCCCAAACGCTCCCTTTACATGTTTAGCTATCTCTCTCTAGTTCTTTTTACCATATAATCTAGCAACGGAATGACCTTTAGAGACTTCAAAACTAACTTTTATTCATCACCACTGAATCATGAGGTAAACGTAAAATGAGTATGACGGACAACATGATGCTGCAACAATCACCACTGAAGAAGGTGGCTGATGGAGGAGCACTATCCGCTGCCACTGATACTCCCACCAGTTTCCCATCTAGTTTACCGAGTGAGAACTTGCCAAGAATTGTCAATGGTAGAAGGGATACGGCTACTGCTGGTAGTCAAGCAGCTTCAAAAGCTGCAGCACTTGCCCCTTCTATTAAGGCCAACTTGAAGGGCAACACAGACATTGCACGTTTGATGCCTTTTCTATTTGAATATTTTGGTGACAGTGTGTCATCCTTCACCCCTGCACCTGAATTGTCTATCTTCCTGTGATCAAAGGAGGTCCTTGTAAGCGTTTGTTACTATTATTATAAATCAATTGCTTAAATATAATTATCCGTCCAATGCTTTTTTGTTTTATGTCCTGGAGAATTAGTGTTTTTTCTTACAATTTAGTGAATTTACGTGTTACGTAGTATATTTCATCCTTGCTGTGATTTCTTTGAAGCCCTCATTTGTCAATTTTCTGCAACTCTCCGGGGACTATTAGGGAAAGCGTGGAGTCCCACTTTCAATATTTTTTATCCGGCTTTATGGTAATGGAGATACATGTCAAAAAATGTATGAGTTATTTTCTGTTTTTAGACGAAGATTGACATTTGACGGGCAGAGGCTAACTGAATTTGTATATAAAAAATAAATTAGAGTTCAGAGGATAAAAAGTAAATCCTCATGGACTAACAACAAGACGTGTGCAATACCTGCATGGGTGGAAAAAACATATCAACCCAAAATTTCAATTATTGCATTTATAACATTTTTCTATAAAATTATGAAATTTATATTGACGTGTAGAATCCAGACTATACAGTAATGAAATGTGTTGAACGCATCAATGAAAGTACTGCAGTTATATGATGTCATTTTCAAACCCCAATGGATTAACAGAATGCCGAGTAAGATTTTCTTTATAAAATAATACATTGCCAACTCAGGCATAGCTTGATGCCTTGATGTAGACGGAAGTACGGAACTAAACCAGAAAAGGCGCACATTTCATGATGATAATCATTAGCATCTTACAACCGTAAATGAAAAAAGCAAATGCCAACCCTGCTTGCTATATTAGGGTGGGGAAGGACGAGAGAAAAGAATTCACTCGCTTGTTGATTGTTAGGCGAAATTCAAAATGTAGCTAGAAGAATAGCTTCCGAGGAGATGGCTGTGAGTTAGTTGAAGGTAAGCGGGTGGATGGCCTTGGGGTTGCCGATGACGGCATGCTTTCTTGGCTTCCACTAGGACCCCTGTCAACAACCATCTTTGCTCCTGCTCCTCTAGGATCTGTAAGAAGAGTTCTCTGAAATGACTGCGTGAAACCAGTGGCAATTATAGTCACATGGATCTCTCCATTATACCGTTCATCCACCACTGCCCCAAATATTATGTTCGCTGATGGATCAGCCAAACTAGTAACAACCTATCATAATGCCCATAAAAAATCAGATTGACACATTAACGAAGAAGCTATTTTTCTTTTATCTAGGGGTGGACCGGTCCAGTTACCGGGTTATGGAAAGGGTGGAACAGTAACCATAACCGGGTATACCTGGTCTGGTTCTTGGTCCACTTTATCCAGGTAGTTCCTGTCCTGGCCTATCTATAAAGAGGACACAGCAGTGAAGAATCAGGTTTTGCTTTTATCTAGGGGTGGACTGGTCAAGGTACCGGGTTGGCAGGTTATGGAAAGGGTGGAACAGTAACCATAACCGGGTATACCTGGTCTGGTTCTGGGTCCACTTTATCCAGGCAATTCCTGTCTTGGCCTATCTATAAAGAATGCAGGCGCAGTCCTGCTTTGAGGAACCTGACCAGATTTGGACCAGTTCCCGTTCAAATCCGTCAATCGGGTCAGGAATCTAGGCTTCAGGTCTGGTCTGGAACTACGGCTGTGATCAACCACTAATTTTATCAAGAAGCACATTAACGTAAATAAATATAAATAAAATAGGGGTGGGATGCACACTGGACCTGAGATACCCTGTTGACTTCTTGGAGAGTGATATCTTTGCCTCCTGTGATGTTATATACTACTCCAGTGGCAGACTGGATAGAAGAACCTATTAAGGGGGCAAGAGTTGCTTGGTCTGCTGCCTCTTCAGCCCGATTCTTGCTAGATGACACTCCCACTCCAAGCATTGCAGTTCCAGAATTTTGCATGACTGCTTTCACATCAGCAAAATCCACATTTACAAGTCCAGGTATCTGCAAATTAATGGCGGTTGTGGTTATTGCACTTTTTGGATTCTATTAGGTTCAATACTTCATACTAATGTGGGCGCAATTCTAGAAAAAAAAGGAAAAAAGGCATCATGAGTTCATGACAAGGATTTATTTGAATTAAAGAACCCACTGTGATTATATCAGAAATTCCTTGGACACCTTGACGAAGAACATCATCAGCAAGAAGAAAAGCATCGTGAAGAGGTGTCTGCTCATCTGCAATATCAAGCAGACGATCGTTTGGGATCACTATAAGAGTATCGACATGTTTCTGAAGTTTTTCAATAGCTTCCAATGCCTGGGAAAACACGTCAACCAACATGAGAATGTACGATAGTGAACTTGGAGGGCTTACACTGTTTTCTCTCTCTACCAATTTCAGGATAAAATAAAACTAGAAGCCTAAAAAATTCATTCATTTGAACTTTTTATTCAGCAAAATAGCAAACTAGACAGAAGGTGTTGACGTGAACTTAATATTCCTATCCTCATAAAAACACTTGCCTGTAAGGATCTTTTGCGTCCTTCAAAGCTGAACGGGTAAGTGACTACCCCGACAGTGAGATAACCAGCATCCTTTGAAATTTGGGCAACAACGGGTGCAGCACCAGAACCCGTGCCACCACCCATTCCAGCTGTTATAAACACCATATCTGAACCCTTAAGAGCACTTGCAATGGTCTCCTTTGATTCCTCTGCTGCCTGTTCTCCAAGAAGAGGATTGCCACCCGTACCTGCATACCCACTTAAATGTTCACAACACAAATACGAGGAGAATGAGGACTCACAAGGCAATTGACACTAATGGAAACATGCATTTAAGTTCAAAACAAGGAGACACTGAGACATTAGGCTAATTGTGTATAATCTTAAAATATTCTACATCAGACAAGACCCCTTTCTACACAATTAATGTCTTTGAACTAACAGAGAGGGAAAGAAGACCTAGTCCGCGAGTGAGAAGCTCTCCAATTTGAATTGGGGTTTCCGCAGCAGACTGCACTAGTGCTTGAGCGTCAGTATTAATGGCAAAAAAATCTACTCCCTGCAATTGAACGAGCAAATTGTCAATTTGACCACCCATAACCAACACTTTCAGCAGAAAATTTAAGAACATTAAGCAAAAAAGTAAGCATGCTCCAAAACAGCTATTCGAACCAATTACAACATCCAGGATGGATTAAAGAAACACTTCTACGGCCCAGCACTCCCAATTGCATTGAAAATCAAAACCAATAAACCTCTTGCATTGAAAATAATTAGGTCTCCCGACAGGAGAAATGCAAAGAAAATGATCTACTGTGTAAATCCACATTTGCATTCAGTGACCCAGCAAAGAATGCTTTCCCCAAATTTCTGTTTTTTTATCACATAGACACAGATAAGAATATTGTGAACCTAAAACTTGAAAACAATAAATGCTCATCAAAATTGACGATGAAGTTTAAGAATGACAAGCCGACGTTACTAAGAAATAAAATACATTCAAACTGTACAGAGCTGCGGACCTGTAAGCCGCTGCCTATCATGCGATTAACGGCATTGTTGCCACCACCGCCAACTCCGACGACCTTGATCTTGGCGGAGTCCATGGGAACGAACGAGTTACGAACGGAGAAACGTAGTTGTTTGGAAAGGCACTTTCTTCCAGGCGCGAGACAGGGAGAAATGCACCGTCTAGGGATGAACGAAGAAGACGTAGCCCTGCTCTTACAAAACCCTAGCGAAGTTGAAGAGGAAGACGACGCAGCATACTCTGAAAGGCCTGAGAATCCTAACATCGCCATTCTCGAAATACTCCGAGTTTTTTTTTTTGAAGGAAATACTCTTGAGTTAAGATGTTATGTTTTGAATTTCAGGAAGAGTTGTGTCTTGCATTCTTCAGTTTAAATTAATTTATCCCTTTACTCTGTTTTTGCGTTCATCATCATCCTAATAAACACAAGTAGGCATGGATCCAGATCGGGCCGCCCGGCCCGGGACCGGCCCGGCCCGCCACTGTGCGAGCCCGGAACCGGCCCGGTTCTCGGGTCCGGGTCCGGGTCGGGCCTAGGCCCGGTGGGGTGGTCGGGTCCGGGCTCGGGCCTTGTATTTGGCGAACCGGCCCGGCCGGGTCGGGCCCGGGCCCGGGCCGAAATGATTTTTTTTTAATTTTTTTTCTTTTTTTGGGGTTAGCCAAGTTGGGCTTGATGGTTAGGAGGGGTTTGGGGGTTTGGGGGGGGTGTGGGGTGAGTGGGGGGTTAGGAAAGCAAAAAAAAAAAAAAAAGAATTATAACCGAACCGGAGGCCCGGCCCGGACCCGGACCGGACCCGGTGGCTACCCGGGCCGGTCCCGGGCCTTCCTTCCAAAAAAAAAAGCCCGGCCGGGCCTGGCCCGGAACCGGAACCGGCCCGGCCCGGGTCCATGACTAATGTAAAGCAACAACATTTTCTATTTATTTAATTATTTATTCATTAGAAATGCTAAGGATATACAAGTTCTATACAAAATGTCGGTCACAGACAATTGGTGCGAAGTTGTTTGTGTCGATAGACATTTACTTTTGTGTAAAAAGTGCACTGACAGTCATCTGACACTGACACCAGCTTGCAAATCAATCAATATATGTGTAGTGCATGTGTGCACATACAATATCTTCATGTTGCACATACAATTTTTATCTGTGTGCACAGACAATATTTACCTCACAGACAATAGTTGTCTGTGTGATCTACTCTAAATGTTGGTGTGATCAATTTCAATTGTCTAGGTGAACACAAAATTTAATTGTCTATATACATTCAAATAAATGATGTAGTTGTATGTGTAATCAATTTACATGTAATTTGAAAAAAAATAGAAAAATAATAAAAATAGATGAAATAAGATGAATAACTCTATTTTGTGCAAATAATGAAAAAAAATTGATATAAAAAGGTAAAGAAAAGAGGATGAAGAGATGATCAGCCCATTTTTTTTGAAGAATTTTAGAAGAGATTGGTTAAAGAGGAAAGAGAGAAGGGAGAGAGGGGGAAGAGAGAAGGGTGAGAGAACCGAGAGAGAAGTGGGAGGGGGAAATGAGATTTGTTTTTTGCTTTTATACCATGTACAACTCGTGTACAATGTACATGGTGTGTACACTAAACATTTTTGTTTATTTATTGTCGAATGTAATATTCCTTGCATTCCATAAAATTTATCAAGCTTGACAAAATAAAATCTTTGTGGTTAGATTTGTATGGAGGAAAAAAATTAACTGGAACCACAAATTCTTACTTAAAAAGGAAAGTAACAAAACTAATGAAACAACCAAAAAAGAAAAAAAATTAACGGAGAGAGTACTCTCGATAGGGAGGAAGTAGTTTATTTAGTAAGTAGTGTGTGTATAGAGAGAGTATGGATCAAATAAAAAGTTATTCCTAGGTGGAAAATAAGAATTAATCTTGACCATTGATGTGAAAAAATGGATGGAAAAGATCAATTTTGAGGTAGGAAACGTGGTGGCATAGTTGTAATTATGGAGAACTTTTATTGAAAATATTGTGACAATTGTGCGTTTGAATAGTCACAAAGTGCACACTTAGAGCACAAAAGTGCAATACGGTATATAATAAAAAGTGCACAAGCTGGAAAATTTTAAGGGAAAAATAAATACAATACCCCAAACTTTGAAGGGGTGTGAGGTAAGCACCCCAAACTTGCATATGTAGTTTAAATACCCCAAACTTTATATAAAAAGTTATTTTAGCATCATGATCATGTATTATTTCTTTAAAAATTGTTCATTTTTGTGTTAATTTCACAATTTAAAATATTTTAGCATTCATGTAGATACAATAATTAGCATTCTAAACTTTAATTGTAAAACAAATAGTATCACTCACACTCTATATAATTGAAACCTTTTCAATTTGCTATTTTAAATTATGCAATTAACATCACAAATTTACAATTTTGAAATAAATAATACATGATCATGGTGCTAAAATGACTTTTTATATAAAGTTTGGGGTATTTTAATTACATATGAAAGTTTGGGGTGTTTATGTCACACCCCTTCAAAGTTTGGGGTATTTTATTTATTTTTTCCAAATTTTAACAATCTTTTTTGACACGCATGAGTGCACCTTTAATCAGTAATTATCCACTTTATAGTATAAACGTTTGCTTATTTTTTAAATCATCTCTTGTGTTTAAAGTTCATCTAATCCATGAATCCATCCATTTTCAAGTGATGGAAGGCCAAGATTTGTTCTCACTTTTCATGGGATGACTACTTTTTACTTGAACTCTCTCATATGTGTGTGTGTGTGTATCTCTTCATGTCCAGCCGGCCTGACGGGAACCGCCGTCTGGCCGAGGGCATTTCTGGCATTTCCTGGTGGAATTTTTTTATGAAATTGTTTAAGCATGGTCTTCATCAAGCCTAATTTCTCCATACCAAATTTTAGCTAAAAATTCAATCAGGAAGGAAAACAAATGATTTTTTGAAAACTACTGCGTTGTTTATATATATTAATTACGCAGTGTTCGTCAATAATTTATTTGGCTCTCTTCCCGATTGAAATTTTAGCTGAAATTTGGTATGGATAAACTAGACTTGATGAAGAACATGCTCAAAAAAATTCATCACAAAATTCCACTGGGAAGGGCCAGAAATACCCTTTAACCGGACGGCGGTTCCCGTCAGGCCGGCTGGACAAGAAGAATATATATATATATATATATATATATATATATATATATATATATATATATATATATATATATATATATATATATATATATATATATATATATATATATATGGGTGTGGTTCCAATGAGAACGATGCTTAACGTGAGAACGCTCACATTTAAATCAATGTGGTGCACAATGAATCTCTTCTGTTGCACTCTGCTCGAATTAAGCCTATATTAAATAAACACATCGGCATTTTGGTAAATATTGTGCAAACGCGAAAAAGTGCAATATAGAAGCTTCATAGTGCAACACGTTGGTATAAATGTAGTGTTCTCACGTTCTTACATTAAACATTTTTTTCTCAATTGATCTTTATTATATATATATATATATAATAAAGATCAAATGAGAATATATATATATATATATATATATATAGACTGCTCGGGTCCAGCCGGAGGGACGGGAGCAGCCGTCCGAACTTCACTGTTTGGGGCGGTTCCCAGTGGAATTTTTTGATGAAATGTTTTGAGCATGTTCCTCATCAAGTCTAGTTTGTCCATACCAAATTTCAGCTCAAAATTCGACCGGGAAGGCAGTCAAATAAATTCTTGAAACTTACTGCACTTTATATATGCGCAGAATGTGCAGTAAGTTTCAAGAATTTACTTGACTGCCTTCCTGGTTGAATTTTGAGCTGAAATTTGGTATGGACAAAATAGACTTGATGAGGAACATGCTAAAAAAAATTCATCGAAAACTTTCATCGGGAACCGCCCCAAACAGTGAAGTTCGGACGGTCCCTCCCGTCCCTCCGGAGGGACCTGAGCATTTCTGTGTGTGTGTGTATATATATATATAGATATATAGATATATATACATATATATATATATATATATATATATATATATATATATATATATATATATATATATATATATATATATATATATATATATATATATATATATATATATATATATATGGTGCAGATCAAATAAAAAGAGGACTTGATGTGTAAAATGTAAAATATTCACTTTTACAACGTTGTGGTGCACTTTTTTGTTCAGTTATTGCACTTTTTTACATTTTGTAATATATCTTTTTTATTTTACAAGTGAAAATTTTGCATTTTACACGTTAAGACCCCTTTTTATACATATACATTTTCATGTGTGATGTGTGTGATGTGTGTGACGAACAAAATTGGAGTACACAAATTGGATAAAATCTAACTAAAAATTACGTAGTAAATCATAACGGGATTATAATGATATTCTTCTTAAGATAATGTAAAATTATAAGAACAAAGAGGAGCCATATTTTACTCTGAAAAGTGATATATTATGTACTTCAAAAGTCCCTAGGAAATTAAGTGATATATTATGTACTTCAAAAGTCCCTAGGAAATTAAACCTTGTTTTGTGTTGAGAAATTCATTGTTAGGATGTTTTTTACTTTGAACTATTTTTATAGTTTGATCAAATCCAATGTGGTCTACTCTGGTCTAGACTGAACAGATCTGTTAAATGTTTGATCTCTGTGTATTTTACCATTACAAGTTTAATGAACAATTACATCAATCAATGTATGTGATTCTATAATTAATCATTTTATTAAATAATAATACATTACAGTAAATTATTTGGGATCTCAGAATATAAAATACCAAGTATTAGGGGTTGATGAGAGCCTTTAAGGAGAATGAAATGGTGGCTTTATTGAAATCAAAGACAAAGCCGCAAGGGCTGTTTGAGGTAAAAAGGAAAGAACAGACACGATTGAAATAATCAATTTACAACGATGATGTCTTTCTTAAAATTAAAAATAATAACAATTCCCTTTCTTTCCCTCTCCAAAACACAAAGGTATAACACAAATACACAATAATAAAAAGATGGATGCCCTAAAGTAGTTTTCTTCATTCTTCAAGCTCTCCAATCACAATAGTCTCATGCGGATGTTTCACTCCCCCTCACTTAAAACGGGAACAATGAGTGGATTCATCTGAGCAATATAAACAATTGCCCACCTGCCAAACATAAAACAAAATGATGACTTTCAATTGAAGCTTGAGAAGAACAAAGCCACAATATAAGCAGAAATCGACTATATTATATCAAATCATAATGGAAATGGATAAAAACTATGGGATTTTTCCTCAGTATTATATCGAGTCAAGAGAGTTCAGCTAAAAGTCGTGCTTACATCATCCAGCAGCAAAC